CCCCAAAACCCCAAAACCCCAAAACCCCAAAACCCCTTTACTAATATACCGGATTGAATAATGCTTTAATGGATTAGTCAAGGATTCTAAGAGTCATTTCATAAAGGAAAAAGTACATCCCACTGTTAGGGAATATCCTCAAAAGGTTAGGTAAGCATCCCTTATAGAAGCCTCTAATCCCCTCATTTTTCCATGTCTGCTTCATAGTCTCCTTGACTCCTGTGTAGAATACCTCCTTATTCATAGTTCCGTCTATGTTAATTTTTCTTTGTGCCTTTAATTCATCAGCTTCTTTGATTGTAAATCGTTGCTTTTGCATGCGTGTTCTCATTAGAACAATTGGGTATAAAGTTGCTGAAGCAATTCATCTACTAGTTCCACCAACAAAGAAAGTCATGATATCCGGAGTCTTTCCTCTTTCAAGAGGCTTTTCAGGAATACCTGCTAATTTGCTCAATTTCTCATAAGCTGTCATTTGTAGTACACCATAGAAACTCATTGCTACAGATGCTGAGAGACCTCTAAAGAATGAAGGGATGCCTTCTTTTGTATACATCTCTGAAACGGTATCCCTAACAAGTCTGAATCCTGACTTCTTCTTGTCCTTCTCGTTCCAATACAAAGTGACTCTGGTCTTTATTCACCAGACGGGGTTGGCACAGACCATGGTAATTAATCCAGCTCTTAAAGATATGAAAGAGGTGAGCCAAATTGAGGATGTTTCCCTATCATAATTATATCTTTTCTTTCCGTCAGCATAGAGTCCAAAGAAGATACCTCCAGAGAGTGCATTTGCGAGGATATTAATGTACAAGCCTCTGTAGAACGCTATGAGACCTTCTTTTCTCCACATGGTAAGGAATGTATCGATAACGCCGTTATACCTCGGTAAATGATTGTTCCTGAGCCCATCATTGGCCTGGAGCCGAGTTTTGACATTCTCCAGAGGATGGAATATAAACAGAGATAGATTCCCACATATTCCTGCTACAAGCGACTTCCACCTTGAGCGCTTTGTGTTATCGATTTTCTCTCCTTTGGTGGCTATCGACATTATTAATTTATAAATGCCACAATTCAATTATACAATCTTACTGTGGGGTTTTGGGGTTTTGGGGTTTTGGGGTTTTGGGG